CTGCAGATAAACATATGGTAATCTTTTATTCTTAAAAAACACAAGTGATCATCATCAACACATTAACGTTTCTCTTTTGTTCTTTGTGATCGGCAAACAAATGAATAAATTATCTTGCTTTATTAGGCGTTTGGCTTGTGTTCCTTCTTTTTATTTTATTTTATTTCTTCTTTTTACTATTCTGTTGCATTACAACCTATTTGGAGTCTATACTGTGGAACATGAAAATGTCTAAATGAGTGAAGTCAAAATCATCAGTTAAGCTGTGAGCAATTGTTATTATTTTAAGAATTTTTTTTATCTCAACTCTCACACTCGTTTAAAATAAAGTGCAGTTTATTGAGACATTTTTCTTTTATGTCTCATTCTTAAAACAGTAATGAATGCGGTTGTTTTGACCTAAAAAAACAGGACATTGTGTCCACAGAGGACACTCAATGAGTGATTTCTTTACCACTGTTCCATAGCTGACCACAGAGTCACTTCTAATAAAAATAGTGAGACAGATTCCAGTGAAACCCTCAGATGCTCTTTGTGCTGTCTATTTTGTACTTCTTTGGTTTCTCTTATGGCTAAAAAAAAAAAAAAAAAGCCAAAGCTCAGACTAGCGCAGGGATCTGCAACTTTTACAACCCAAAGGCCCGTTTCTTCCCCTAGGCTCACTAATAAAAAGTGTCCAGAGCCACAAAACATCCTTTCACTGTGACTATCTACTGGTGGCGTGTTGGCCACTTTGAATTTCTTAAATGAGTTGTTTCTGGCCAGTAGGAGTGACATCATATAACTAAATACATAGTGAATTTGAACATTTCATAATATTTRTATATATTAGGATAAAAAAGACTATATGTAAACAAGATAAAATACCTACTTTTTTGGTTTTCATTATTCTCTAATGCAGTGGTTCCCAAACTTTTTATCTTCTGACCCACAAAATATCCACGGCAAAAACTTGTGACCCTGAATATTACTGGTCTGAGTACACAAACTTCATTAAAAACCCTAAAAACACAGGCTTTTAACAGTATAAACAGCTTGTACACATATAAATACTTAATTATAGCTATTTTGTGTTTTTGTAATAYTTATAGGGAAAATATTACATCAGCAATTATTTTATTATCCTTTAAATTGATTTCTGGAGATTATCCAAGGTGCTTCATGACCCATAATTGGGTCCCAAGCCCAACTTTGGGAACCAAAGTGCACTGGTTCCCAAACTTTTCAGCTTTTGACCCACAAAATAACAGTAGCAGAGACCTGTGCCCCCAGCTAATTTTGGATGATAAACATTTGTATCAGGTCAACAAAACATGAGCATAGTAACAATATTTTTATACTACATTTATCCATTTTAAATACACTAACKTCACTCCTTTGTAACAACTAAGGCAAAAATGTAATGAATTCTGAAAATCTTTTCAGGACCCCACCTTGATGTTTCGGGACCCCACTTTGGGTCCCGACCCCAACTTTGGGAAACACTGCTCTAATGAATTCACCGTATTGTTTTTTCTCAGCAACTTGTCTTACAGATAATCCAACAAAATACAAATAAAATAAAATAAATCCTGACGGATTTGAAATAAAACATACTGTGAGGCTGGAAGTGGTCAAGATGCTATGATGTAATCAACAGATTTCATTTCTTGTTTTAGTTTCAAACACATTTGCAAATACATGAACAGAAATAAAAACATCTAAAGCCTGGTCTGTTGTGAATAAAATATATTTCATGTTAGTTTTGGTCAAAGCTTCTCAGAGCCGCTGCATGTGGCAGACCCCTGGACTAGTGGGATTCATGACCTGGCAGAACTGGTGTTCTCCACTAGGAGGAGCTACAACAGACATTTGTTGGTCAAAATGACAAACTGAAGTCCAAATGACAGAACCCAAAATGTGTCATTTGTTCCCAAAATATCATTTTAATATGAGTTATCTATTTATCATTAGAGTTTGAGATGGAGTGTCTTTCTGTGGTGCATTAAAAAAGTTTTGATTTATTTTAACCCTAAAAGGCAAAAACTTCTCCTCAATACTCTTTTCACTGTCTGTCTGAAACAGCAGGCGCAACAGTTGAAAACACATTTTAAACTTTTTTTTTTTTTTGCAATGAGGCACATTTTATGACTTGCAAAGTTGCAGCCCTGCTCCTGTCCTCACACAGAGCAGAATAAAGAGGTGTTATTACAGGTTTTCTCATGCAAATGCTTTTAGTTTGAAAGTCAGTCCCTGGGAGGACGTGATCATCTTTCCAGGGAATCTCTCTTGGCGTTCTTTATTGTCTTTAAGATAACAGACCTCATCAGATGAACATGATTAATATCGGTGCTAATTGAATCAAGACAGACTTTACATTAAAATAGTCATATTATAAATCATATTTTCAGTTTTTTTAATCCAGTTTGTTGACACGATGAATATAAATGAACGAAAGGCGCAGGTTTAATCAGATTACTGCTGCAGATGATGTAAAAAGAGGGGGGTGGATTGGGGATCGTGATCCAAAGGGGGGGAAGGTGCTGCCCACGGCTCTCACGCACTCAGCCAGACGTCCACAGTGGAGACAGGCAAAGGAATCTGCAGGGAAGTTGGATTTTCTAACTTTTGTTTTAGTTAAGCGCGACTCCGCGTCAGTTGTGTCCTTCACACCTGAACCCATTACGCGCAGCTCACACCGCCCTCCTTCACTTTTATTGGGTTTGGTTTTACGCGGAGTTTGGATCTGCTGCAGAGAAGCTCGGACGCAATTTTGCCCACAGAATTCCATCTTTTTTTTTTTTGGCATCCTACATGAAGCAATCATTCTGGGGGAGGATATTGATGGTGTGACCCCCGCCTCCTCCTCTGATCAGACACGTGAATCATCATCATCATCATCTGCAGCAGGCAGCGCTGCGTCCCGCGGGCTTCACGCAACATGAGTCGGTCCGGCGGGTTTTCGGATACTTGTCAGATCGTTTTAGGGGACCGCACGCAGACGGAGCTGTGGGAGTAGGGCCGGGGCGGTCCACGCTCTCTGGGCTGGACACCGAGTTGTTGCAGAACGCGCCGCACGCAGTCCGGACAGAGCGACGAACGATGCGGGGCTCTCTGAGCGCATTCACCCACTTCTGTGTCATTCTGTTGGTCCGGGCAGACCAGTGGAGGCTGAAGGACTCCCACAGCTGCGAGTTACACAGGAAAGTAAGTGATTCTGCTGAGCGTTTGCTTTATACTAATGCATTATTATGTTTGGTGTTTTATAAAGTTTTTGTGTCAGAGAATCCAGCTCGTCTTTCCCTTTCTGTTGGAACTTGTTCCTTTCTCTTTAAACTATGGTGCTTTTTTTTACAACTTTATTTGATGCCATGTGTAAAATTTTCTGTTTTTCATCACTGTCAATAAGCCATTATGTGTTCCATTTTAATTTAATATTAGAAAAACAGCTTATCTCAATTAGATTATCTATTTCAGCACTTGTTTTATGTATTTCCAGTGCATGATTGACAGAGGAAAAAAAGCAACCAAAACAAGGTTTATTCCTTCTTTTTATTGTTATTAAAATGACATTTTATAACTCCTCCTTTACTGTCTGTAAGCATTAGACTTCTTTAGTGGCAACAGACAGCATTCAGCAGCCTGTGGTGTGGCAAACACCTGTGTTTCTTTTTACACTTGGGTTCTAAGTGGCCTGTTAACAAGCCATTATCAGCCTGTTAGTGGTCTAACAAACAGTCTACTGTGGACAAAGGAGAAGCTTGGTGTCAGACAAGACCAGTGTTGGTTGTAAAGTAAGTGTAAAATCAACCCTCGGCTGTCCTCCTTTTATGTGTTTCTACTTGTTGTTTGGGGCTTTAGTGATCAATAAAAAAGAGCAGTGGAAAATTACAACACGTTATTTAAGAAAGGTCTGATTTGTCTAATTGTAAAATGAACTGTTAGCTTTTCTCTGTGTAAACTGAATTGTTTTAAAAGCGGCACCTAAAGTTTGTGCTCTCCTTTTTTTCACCACAGCAAACTGACTTAAACTCCTTCCTGTGGACGATCAAACGGGATCCACCGGCGTATTTCTACGGCACGATCCACGTTCCCTACACACGCGTTTGGGATTTCATCCCAGAAAACTCCAAGCAGGCCTTCCAGGAGAGCCACATTGTGTACTTTGAGCTGGACCTGACCGACCCTTACACCATCTCTGCCCTGACCAGCTGTCAGCTGCTTCCTCAAGGTGAAAACCTGCAGGACGTCCTGCCCAGGGACATCTACAGGAGACTGAAGAGACACCTCGAGTATGTCAAACTCATGATGCCCTCCTGGATGACCCCGGATCAGAGAGGGAAGGGGCTGTATGCCGATTACCTCTTTAACGCCATCGCCGGGAACTGGGAGAGGAAGCGGCCCGTTTGGGTGATGCTGATGGTGAACTCTTTAACTGAGGCAGACATCAAGACGCGAGGGGTGCCGGTGCTGGACCTGTACCTGGCCCAGGAGGCGGAGAGGATGAGGAAGAAGACGGGAGCGGTTGAGAAGGTAGAAGAACAGTGCCATCCACTCAACGGGCTCAACTTCTCCCAGGTGAGTTTGACAAAATGTGGAGCTTGAAAGCTTCCAGAAACTCATTAGCGTCATCTTGACAATGATGATATTATTGTTGTCGTGTCTATATCAAAGGTAAAAACAACAAAAAGYTAAGAAAACCTAGGATTAATGCCACTTTGTAGTGAGTGGACTACACAAAAGTGACCATCCTGTGAGGGTCATGTCTGGGTAGCATTAACTTTTCAGGTTCAAAGGTACAATCCAGGTTTTAGATAGCAGTTTGGTAAGAATTTAACTTTATTATCGCATTCATTGGCATCATTACATTTCATTTATTCATTATTCCTCATAATCATTAATAACATTTTATCATATCTGATTTCACACCTTTTGTTGATCATTGGCTGCTATTTCAAATATTTCTTACAAAAAATGCAGGAAAAGTTTAAAATGACGTCTAATTTCATTGTAGGCCTATGCTTCTTGTTTTTGTACCTTTTGTGATATTTTAAAGTCGTCTTGATCAAAAATACTTCAGGTACCGTACTTTGAAAGTTTTTCCTTGAACTCTTCCTACATTTCAGTTATTTTCTGTCCAGCTTGAAAACTCAAGAAAAGCTTGTTTTTTTCTTTCTGTTTTTTTTTAATGGAAGTAAAATATAAAGAAATGAGGGATGTTTTCATATCAGAATCATCACCAGTATTTAATATTCTGCAAACAGGAGTAAAAATGATTGATATTTGTAATCACTGCCATTGATGAGTGAAACCAGGTGTTGTTCCATAATTGTTTCGGTCTGTATCATTTCATATCAAAGGCAGATGATGTGGTGCTGCAGCTTGTGAGTTCAGTTTTCATTGTAAAGGAAATTCTTTTTTAAAGGAAAATTAATAAATACATAATAATAATGATCTCACAACTTCAAAATAGATGCATAATAATGTTCAAATTCTTATTTTCCCTCATTTCTCTCTTTGTTTTCCACAACTTAGTAAAGTGGTGAAAAGTCAGGCGTTAATAATCAGCTGTATAAACATGAAACTGCTTGTTTTCCATCAGTTTTGTTATTAAAGAAAAATGGAGCTGAAAAACGAAGCCTTGTTCTGTTGAACACACTGAAGTTCTCTTTTGCCCCCTCTGGTCTGTCTCTCTCTCTGCCCCTCAGTGACCTTTACTTTACGATGAAGATATCCAGGAGCAGCAGTCACTGTGAAACCGCYTTATGAGTTCATGTTAGCCGAGAGTTAAAGGAATTAACCCAAACTAAATAACATAACACCCAGAGGCTTAAAGTGGTGTTATTTTTGAAAGCACMTTCTGTTGGGCTCACAGCAGACCACATACAAACACTTTTACCATCTGAAGTACT